CACAAAACATTCCTTACATAAATAAACAAAAAAAAAAAAAAAAAAAACAAAAACAAAAACAACAAAAACAACAACAAAAAAACAAACAAAACTAACTAACTAACAAAGCGAAAAAAAACCAAACAAAATTGAATAAAAGAGCATTTGACTGACCGAGTACAAAGGTACAGATCTTCCAGCTTTAATGTCACCACTCAGACCAACATTATTGATATTATAGCTGAGATCACATGGCAGCAGGTTGACCAGGACCAAGGGAGCGAGTATTGTTATGGAGTGTGCTGGTTGGGGTGTCATTTTGAGCCTCTTACTGGGGACGAAGTCTGTCAGGGGATCGTCTTCTGGGTACCCTTCGCGTCGAACAGACGTGCAAAACCTAACGAGAAGGAAACGATACAGTCAATGGATCACTACATCGACGATACGGCGGCCATCTTGCCAGGGGAGAAAATAAAACAATGATGACGGAAAATATATAGAGTTTCGTGTGTTGTTTTCTTTTATGGGTAAAGGTGACCGACGTGCCGCATTGAGTCATCTCTTATTGTATTTTCTTGTGATGAGTTTGTAATATAAATCGATGTCATTACTGTAGCAAAGATTTATTAAATCAGGGCATCGCTAACTCACAGATAGAACCTTGAAACAACCTATGGGCTGATCTAAGTCAGGGCATGACTAACTCACAGATCCAACCCTGAAACAACCTCTTGGCTGATCTAAGTCAAGGGCACGGCTAACTCACAGATCAAACCCTGAAACAACCTCTGGGCTGATCTAAGTCAGGGCACGGCTAACCCACAGAACGAATTGGAATTTAGGTCTTGCGCAGGGAGGTAAATCAGAGAACTGGGAAAAAACCCTCGAATGTCATGTCATGCCGAGTCCAGGAATAATTGAACTAGCTACACGACCTTATCACTCCACACGGAACGTTAAGTATTGCACAGTCCAAAGGCGACTCTCAATGTTGTCTGACATAGAGTCACATTTATCCTACCTGAATTTGGAGCCATTTCCAATCGGATGACACTCTCTTAAATATCCAAACGTTGCAAAAGCCTTGGTAACGCTCTTCCATTCAATGGCTGCAGAACTGAAGCCCACTCCCACCCCCTGGGGTCTGGCATAGATCTTCCACGTGACAGCATGCAGGGGGATTGTTAGGGAGTTTCTTGGTTGAATCACAGGGAGAGTAAAAGAACCTAAAAAAAAAAAAAAAA